TGGGACGTCCATCTGTGAGGGGCAGAGGCAGGGGGAGGAAAGAGGGCAGGAAGCTGACCAAGCTGGGGGGACCAGGCAGCACTGCTTCGGGAGGGTAGGGGGGCTGTTAAGTGATGGTGGGAGGAGAGGGGCCGGGGGTCCACAGCGAATACCTGGAAAAGGCCCGAGAGTTGAGAGCCTCCTTGCACCCGAGGCAGGTCCCAGCGAAGGGCTCCCTCCGCCAGCTCGGCCTTCTGCTCTGGGCTGCTCAGCTCCTGAGACAGGCTGGAGTTTGGAAAGGGAAGGTGCTGGGCTTGGCGCCTTCTTGGGGCAGGCCCGTCGTGCTGAGCTCACTCTCTCCCCAGGAATCTCCCCGTGGTGGGTGCACACACTCACCTGACCACCCCTCGAGGCAGGGGAAGGTGCAGCCTGACATTGAGGGCTTGGCTACAGAGGAGACAGGAACAAAGTCAGCCCCAGGAAGGCACGGTCCCTTGTCCTGTTCCTCTTCAATGTCACAACAGGATTTCAGCACAGGTGTCCCCGACCTTCCCAAATGCTACAGCCTCTACCTTAACTGGATTCTGAGGCTGGCAGCTGCATCTGAAGGGAGAAGTAGCAGGTGCCCTGGCCCTGTCTCCTGTCCCACAGAGCTGAACTCAGCCAGGCGCCGGCCTCACTCTTACCTCTTCGAGGGCAGGTCGCATCGCAACTTCAGATAAACCTGGAGCCTGGATGAGAGGGTAAAACACCATGACTCAGGCAATCTCTTACTGGCATCTCATCATTCCTCACCAGGGGCCTCCATGCGGGGCTGTGTGGGTATGGGCTGTACCCCCAAGAGAGAAAAGGGCTGAAGTCCAGCCCAACTCCATTAGCCAAAGCTTTTTCCTTTTTTTTTTTTTTTTCAGAGTGACAAGGTCTCGCTATGTTGCCCAGGCTGGTCTGGAACTCCTGGGCTCAAGTGATCCTCCCATCTCAGCCTCCCAAAGTGCTAGGATTACAGGTGTGAGCCACCACGCCCAGCCCAAGCCTTTTTCCAATTTGCACTTCATCACCACTACCACCACCCCTACTCTGCAGTGAGTCTTGGGAACATACAGGTCTCGGCTTGGGTTCCAAGGTAGTTCTAGAACCCAGGAAATGGTCTCACCGGCCTGAGCCTCGGTCCCACTGCACAGAGGGGAAGAGTCGGAAGGGGAGCGGTGACGGGAGGTCATCGGAGAGTTGGTACCGCATCACAGTCAGCTGAGAGACCAGAGAGCAACAAGGTTAGTTTGGTCTCATGCCCCCACTGCCCCCCTTCCCCATGGTGGATGGAATTTATGAGGCCACCCCAACCCTGACCTCGCCCTGAGGTGGTTGCAAGCGGAGGATTCGATGAGACTCAAACTCATCCAGATTCACAGAGCTGTGAAACGAGACTTCATCGACCCGGATTCCTGGCCCATAACCTGGAAAGAGAGAGAGAGACTTCTCTCCTGACCCATGTTTTGGGAGAGGAGCAAGAAGTGGGGAGGCTCCATCTCTGACTTCCCTCCATGAACTCTCCAGCAATGACCTACTCCAAGGGGAGAAAGACCCACTTTTTCCTCACCTCTTAGCTCTGACTTTCCCACACAAAACTCTTCCGTCAAGCCAATGCGCATCTCTGTTGGAGGAGAGAACATCAGGGGAGCTCAGCAAACTCCACGGTTTAACACACCAAGGAACCTGCCCTAACCCCAACCCTGGGTCCCGCCTGCAGAGGCCTCACCAGAGCCGCTGGGAAGGAAACTCTTGAGCCGAATCTCTCCCTGCACATCCACCTTCAGCAGGGAGCCCTGAGAGGCAGGGGGATCAAGGTTAGAGTCTTTTTTTTTTTTTTTTTTTTTTTTTTAAGACAGTCTCGCTCTGTCGCCCAGGCTGGCAGCGGCGTGATCTCGGCTCACTGCAAGCTCCACCTCCCAGGGTCAAGAGAGTCTCCTGCCTCAGCCTCACAAGTAGCTGGGATTACACATGTCTGCCACCATGCGTGGCTAATTTTTATATTTTTAGTAGAGATAGAGTTTCACCGTGTTGGCCAGGCTGGTCTCAAACTCCTAACCTTAAGTGATCCACCCACCTCGGCCTCCCAAAGTGCTGGGATTACAGGTATGAGCCACCGTACCCCGCCTTTTTTTTTTTTTTTAAGAGACAGGGTCTTGCTCTGTCACCCAGACTAGAGTGCAGTGGCTCAATCTCGGCTCACTGCAGCCTCAACCTCCTAGGCTGAAATGATCCTCCTGCCTCAGCCTCCCAAGTAGCTGGGACAGCAGGTGTACACCACCATGCCTGGGTAACTTGTTTATTTGTATTTTTTGTAGAGACGGGGTCTGGCTATGTTGCCCAGGCTGGTTTCAAACTCCTGGCCCCAAATAATTCTTCTACCTTGGCCTCCCAAAGCACTGGGATTACAAGCATGAGCCACTGTGTGGCCGCTGCTGGGAGTCTTAACCACCCCACCATGTTTCTCAAGTCCCATTTGTCCTCAGCTCCAGGTTTGGGAGCTCCGACTTACATTAGATGCGATCAGTACAGACAATCTCTCGACCACATCCAAAAAAACTTCATTCTTTTGGCTCTGAGAAAGAGAGAGGGTTTGGATGGTTGGAAACAGAATAGCCTATGTTCTGAAATGGACAGACAGGGAGAAAGGACAGGACAGTCAAAGCTACAGCTCTAGGGTGGGGACATGGGTGATGGAAGGGATACCCACATCTAGGGGAGGTGGGAGAGGTGTCAAGATCTTTTTTTTTTTTTGAGATGGAGTCTCGCTCTGTCGCCCGGGCTGGAGTGCAGTGGCCCGATCTCAGCTCACTGCAAGTTCCGCCTCCCGGGTTTACGCCATTCTCCTGCCTCAGCCTCCTGAGTAGCTAGGACTACAGGCGCCCGCCACCTCGCCCGGCTAGCTTTTTGTATTTTTTAGTAGAGATGGGGTTTCACCGTGTTAGCCAGGATGGTCTCGATCTCCTGACCTCATGATCCGCCCGTCTCGGCCTCCCAAAGTGCTGGGATTACAGGCTTGAGCCACCGCGCCTGGCCGATCTTTTCCTTTTTCTTTTTTTTTGCATTTTTAGTAGAGACGAGGTTTTACCATGTTGGCCAGGCTGCTCTCGAACTCCTGGCATCAGGTGATCCGCCACCTCGACCTCCTAAAGTGCTGGGATTACAGGCATGAACCACTGCGCCCCAACGTAAGATCTTGGACTCTGCAGTCCCAGAGCAAAACCAGAGGGTCTGACCCCATGGATTCCTCCCTCACCTGGTCAGAGCGACTGGACAGGACAGGGCGGCTGGCTGCACTGCTGGGAGCCACTTTGCTCTGTTGTGTCTCAGCCCCAAACTGTAAAGCATCCAAAGCAATCAATCATCAGGTCTGACAACCCCAGCCAACCCCTCTTCTCCTTCCTCACCCTCCTCTTTCCCTCTGCTGACCAAGCCAACGCTGCTGAGGTCAAAGAGGCTGAAGGGCTTGCTGACCACAGCTTCTGTCTGGATGAAATTCCTCAGCATCTCTGTGGATGTGGTCTGTACATAGCCATAGTCCTAGTGGTAAAAGAAGGACAGTCCAAGTGGTCAGTGGAGGGAAGGGGTAAAAAGGGGGAGTGGGGCCAGGCATGGTGGCTCACTCTTGTACTCCCAGGTCTTTGAAAGGCCGAGACATAGGAGAATGGTTTGAGACCACGAGTTCAAGACCAGCCTGGGCAACAGAGCGAGACTCCCGTCTCTACAAAAAATAAACAATGAGCTGGACACGGGGGAGGAGGCTGAGGCAGGAGGATAGCTTGAGCCCAGGAGTTCCAGGCTGCAGCGAGCTATAATTGCACCACTGCACTCCAGCCTGGGCAACAGAGCAAGACCGTCTCTAAAAGGAAAAAAAAAATAGATTTGGCCTCCTAACCACAGCATCCCACAGTAGAAGAGCAGATGTATCTCCAGGGGAATTAGGTGGGGGCCACAGAAGGGGATCATTGATTCTCACCAGCACTTCATCCAGGAGTTCGTAGACCAGAGCCACATTGCGGGAGATGGTCCCCTCGCCCAGGGAGCCACAGTAATCGCCCAGAAGAGTGGCCAACCTGAGGAAACACTTGGAGCGTGTATTTCCTCCTCCTCTCAGACCCCTGCCAGCTAGCAGGTGCCCAGCCCAACCCTCCTCACCTGGAGAGCAGTTCTAGGAGGCTGAAGGGAGAAACGTTTTCTGAAGTTGTGACCACCAAATACAGGCTGCTGTGTCTGATGTGAATGAAATGACGGCCATCGTGATGCTGAAACACAGGCAGGGAGAAGAGGGGTTAGGAAAAGGGAGGTGGAGTGATCAGAACCCAGGAGACTTGAGCTGGGATCCCGATGCCTCTTACTAGTCACAACAGCAGTGACTTTGGGAGATACATGACAGATCCCTGAGCCCAGCTTCCCATGTGGAAACGGGGTTAATTATAGTCTACCCCAAGTTGCTGATAATGGAGTCACGCAGGGAGCTGGGCCTGGTGTGTTGCTGGCGCCCAATGGACGTTTTTTTTTTTTTTCCCCCACCCCCATTACCCCGAGACGGAGTCTCGGAGTCTCGCTCTGTCACCCAGGCTGGGTGCGGTGTCCGGATCTCGGCTCACTGCAACCTCCGCCTCCTCGCTTCAAGCGATTCTCCTGCCTCAGCTTCCCGAGTAGATGGGATTACAGGCGCCCGCCACCACGCCCAGCTAATTTTTTTTTCGTATTTTTAGAAGATGCGCAGTTTCAGCATGTTGGTCAGAATGGTTTCGAACTCCTGACCTCAGGTGATCCGCCCTCCTCGGCCTCCCAAAGTGCTGGGATTACAGGCGTGAGCCACTGCGCCGGGTCTCTTGTTAGTTTTACTTGGAGAAATACAACCCCCAAGTGGAAGCTACCATAGAACCAGTCCTGGGAGGGAGACGGCGCCCACCCGGCCCGCCCGGGCCCAGCTCCTCACCCGCCTCCCGCCAGTGGTTACCATGACAACCGGGGACTCGTCTCCTGGCAGTCCCGTCAGCTTCCGGTAGAAGAGCTCGGCCACATCCCGGCCGCCACTGTCCCCGCGGACTGGCCGGTGGAAGGACTCAGTGAAGGATCCTGCGACACGGGCTGGCCCTGGGCGCCCCTCCCGCCCGGTCCCTCCGCCCCTTCCCTGTCCCGAGGGTCTAGGATACAGTCTTTGTAGATGAGCGGGTCCCCCTTGGAGGACAGAATGAAGAACTGGGAAATCATGGCCGTCCTGGAGAGCAGACAAGAAGACGACGAAAGTTGGGCCTGCCCCGCCCTGAGGCCCCGGAACAAAAGAACGCGCGTGCGCTGGCCCTTTAAGAGCGATTCTCCTCCGCCCGCGCCAGCTTGGACCGCGGGAAACCCGGCGCCCGCCCCACCCCGCCCGGAGATTCCCTTCCGACTCCCGCACCGCCTCCCCGTCACTCATTCGAGGCCCGCCCGGCGATTGGCTTACGGCTAGCGGGAGGGAGAAAGGGCCGGCTTTTCCGATTGGCCAGCACGCAGTGGCGCTGGTCACGTGGGGGGCGACGTTTCGCGCCAATTTCGGTTGGCCGGCCACAGTCCACCGCGCGGACGTTCTTAGCTTCCCCAGAAGCAAGACCTCTGAGCCCGCCAAGAGCTGCCGCACGGGCCTCGGCAGCGATGGCACTGAAGGACTACGCGCTAGAGAAAGGTACGGGTCTACAAGCCTGGGAGGGCGTCCTGCGCGGGGAGCCTCCCGGGGAACACCTGTTGATGTGAGCTGGGGTCTTCGAGGACCGGGGTCAGCGGGTTCTGGGGCGCGCGACGCCAGAGGCAGGGTCGGGTTGCGGCCTGGCTAAGGCCCACGGGGCCTGGAAGGCGCGCGAGCGGCATCGACGTTGAAGAAAAGGTAGTAATCCCACTTGGGAAAGGTGTTACAGAGTCGTGGGGTTGGGGGGCTTGGGGGGCGCTACCCGGCTGGGGGCTGCACAAGGAAGAGTCGCGCCGAGGACCTCAGGAGACTCTTTAAGGGCTCTGGACCTCGGACCCGCTTCCCTCCGCGCTTTTGGGCATTCCCAGGTTCCCGCCGCCTCCCCGAGGCGCGCGGAGGCCCCGGGGGCGGGCAAGCCGGGGCCGCTGCGTGCCGGGATTGGCCGTTTGAGGCCGCCCTCCGAGCGGAAGTGGAGCCGGGCGGAAGTGGCGCGACGCGGGTGGAGGGAGTGTCGTGTAAACAGTGTCCTTCCGCGCGGCGGCCTCGGAGAGAGCTGCGACCCGGGGGGGCGTGCCTGGGATCCGGGAGCTTCGCTCGGGCCCGGGAAAGGCGGCAGTGGGCTGGGATCGCAGTGGCCCTGGGCGTGCTGGCCAATGGCTGAACTGGCTCCCGCCTCGGGCGGAGGAATCCCGGGCTGTGAAGCGGCTGGAATCCGGGCCCATGTGCTTCTTTGTTTACTAAGAGCGGAAGCGCTGGCGGGAGCGGTGGTGGGGTGCGGGACCTGGCTGGTGGCGGAGGTCCCGGTGAGATAAGGGGCTCGGGGGACCCAAAGAAGGCAGGGGATCATGGGGGTGGAAAGAAAGCTGAGAACCTTGAGGCCGGAGTGTGGGAGGCCAATGGGGAACGGCGCTAGGATTTTAAACTAAAGTAGGGACAGGAATTCCCCTGGGGAATAGATGTTGGATCGCCCTGTGCACTGCCCCGGGCTCTTTATTCTTCGCTGGTTAAAACAGACTGTGCAAAAGAGTTATGCCCACTTTGGGGAGAATTCGGTAGTTTATTTAAATGTTCATATTATTAGTTCATAGGCTGTGTTTTAAGCGAAAATAGGTATCTTAGATTTCTATCAGAGGGATGGGCAGTGATGTGTCTTAAAGTTTATGTTTTATGATTTTACATTTCACGTTACAGAAAAGGTTAAGAAGTTCTTACAAGAGTTCTACCAGGATGATGAACTTGGGAAGAAGCAGTTCAAGTATGGGAACCAGTTGGTAAGTATAAGATTGGGTAAAGGGAATGGGGAAGTGGGGTGCATAAGGAGCCATAAGCAGTAGCTTGGCTGGTTTTATTAGAGAGGTAATAATTAGAGGGTTTGGGGGCTGAGAAGCGAGTATCTCTCTAAGTGGTGCTGTGTTCTCCCCTGTGGATGCCCAGAGCCTGTGCTGAGTTCTCAGTAATGTATCTTCACATATGAACACTGGTGTACAAGGTGAATGTGGCTCTGAGGTGTTTCTGTCTCTTCCTCACCTGAGGTTCGGCTGGCTCATCGGGAACAAGTGACTCTGTATGTGGACCTGGACGACGTAGCCGAGGATGACCCCGAGTTGGTGGACTCAATTTGTGAGAATGCCAGGCGCTACGCAAAGCTCTTTGCCGATTCCGTACAAGAGCTGCTGCCTCAGTACAAGGAGAGGGAAGTGAGTGGCTAGAGAACAATGGCAAACAAAGGGGAAGGCATTTAAGCTTCTGTAGAGAGGCTGCTCAGATACTGATGTTTTCTGAGCAGGCAGAAAGAAGGGGCACTTCAGTCTGGTGTTCTCTGCGCTCTCCTTTCCCCATCCTGTTGCTCGTTTATTTATTTGTTTATTTTGTCCTCCTTTAGGTGGTAAATAAGGATGTCCTGGACGTTTACATTGAGCATCGGCTGATGATGGAGCAGCGGAGTCGGGACCCTGGAACAGCCCGAAGCCCCCAGAACCAGTACCCTGCTGAACTCATGCGCAGATTGTGAGTGGTCTCTGTTGGGAAGTATGTAGGGATTGGTTCTCCAGGATCTTGTTTGTGACTGTTTTCTCCCCTTAGTGAGCTGTATTTTCAAGGCCCAAGTAGCAACAAGCCTCGTGTGATCCGGGAAGTGCGGGCTGACTCTGTGGGGAAATTGGTGACTGTGCGTGGAATTGTCACTCGTGTCTCTGAAGTCAAACCCAAGATGGTGGTGGCCACTTACACTTGTGACCAGTGTGGGGCAGAGACCTACCAGCCGGTACGTGTGGAGCAAGGAGCAGGAAAGCCCTTACCCATTAGTCGTTTTGTAGAGATTAATTTGATCCCGTGATGCTTATCATTTTTTTTGCTTGTAAAAGGTGCCTGTGTGTTTGCCTTTCATTGTTGGGTATGTAATGGTCTTTCTACCTATTTCTTGGGTGTTTGTTGTTGACCCAGAGTTAAGTTCAAAGGGTTCTTGACACTTCCAAGATGTCTGCCATGAAGAGAAAATGTGATTCAAGGAACCGACCGACCCAATGGGGCTCTTTTGCTTCTGTTCTCACATCCTAGATCCAGTCTCCAACTTTCATGCCTCTGATCATGTGCCCAAGCCAGGAGTGCCAAACCAACCGCTCAGGAGGGCGGCTGTATCTGCAGACACGGGGCTCCAAATTCATCAAATTCCAGGAGATGAAGATGCAAGAACATGTGAGTTTGGGGTACGTGGCCCTGGGCAGGTGGATTGGGAGTCCACTTGAATCCTGTAGTCACTTGTGGAGTGGCAGGACAGGAGGGAGGTGGAACTAGAATTTCTGAGAGCCTTGGGAAGGGGAAACTCAGTAGCCCTCCTGTGGGCTTGTCTGTGACTAGGCAGCCTGGGAGCCTTTGAGTGGGATGCCTAGGGAGGGAAGGTTGGGTCCTCGTCCATTTCTCCTGGCCTTATGTGCCTTTCCCTCCCCTAGAGTGATCAAGTGCCCGTGGGAAACATCCCTCGTAGTATCACGGTGCTGGTAGAAGGAGAGAACACGAGAATTGCCCAGCCTGGAGACCACGTCAGCGTCACTGGTATCTTCTTGCCAATCCTGCGCACTGGGTTTCGACAGGTGGTACAGGTAAGGAAGAGTTTGACATGAGGATCGTCCCCTTTTCCCTCACCTACTCATTCTACTCGCACAGAGAAAAGTGGGCAGCACCCACAGAACCCAGAGATTTGTCAAGAAATCGTTAGGGAATCCAGTGATGGGCAAGTTGAAGGGGTTGCATCTGTATCCTGGCATTTTCCTGCCCAAGGGTTTACTCTCAGAAACCTACCTGGAAGCCCATCGGATTGTGAAGATGAACAAGAGTGAGGATGATGAGTCTGGGGCTGGAGAGCTCAGCAGGGAGGAGCTGAGGCAGATTGCAGGTGAGGGGCAGGGGAGATAGAGGAAATTCCATTTACATCCTAGCCCCCTTTTCCCCCAAAAAATACAACCTTAACTTCTCTACAGAAGAGGATTTCTACGAAAAGCTGGCAGCTTCAATCGCCCCAGAAATATATGGGCACGAAGATGTAAAGAAGGCACTGCTGCTTCTGCTAGTGGGGGGTGTGGACCAGTCTCCTCGAGGCATGAAGATCCGGGGTAAGAAGGAAAAAGGGAGAGGCTCGGGGGGATGAAGTCATTTAGGAGGAAAAAAGGATGACAAGTGTCTCTGTAGGTCAGAGTATAAGAGTGGACATCTTGTCTTCGTGGACACAGGGAGGGCTTAGAAGTAATGCTGGGTGTTAGAGGGAGGCAGAATTCAAAATTGCTCTGTTGTTGTCTAAGCATTGGGAGAAGAGTCATTCCAGGGCTGCCTTCCCTTTCTCCAGGCAACATCAACATCTGTCTGATGGGGGATCCTGGTGTGGCCAAGTCTCAACTCCTGTCGTACATTGATCGGCTGGCCCCCCGCAGTAAGTAGTTGGGCCTTGGGAGAGGTGAACATAGTGACAGATAGGGCCACAGTGTTTATTCAAAAAATGGGGGTGCATGGTGGCTCACACTTGTAACCCCAATGCTCTGAGAGGCTGAGGCGGAAGAATCGTTTGAGACCAGGCTGGTCTACTAAAAAGTTTGTTTGTTTGGGTATTTTTTTTGTTTGTTTCCTTTTTTTGAGACGGAGTCTCAGTCACCCAGGCTGGAGTGCAATGGCGTGGTTTCGGCTCACTGCAACCTCTGCCTCCCAGGTTCAAGCGATTCTCCCTTCTCAGCCTCCTGAGTAGCTGGGACTACAGACACGTGCCACCACACTTGGCTAATTTTTGTACTTTTAGTAGAGATGGGGCTTTACTATGTTGGGCAGGCTGGTCTCGAACTCGTGACCTCATGATCTGCCTGCCTTGGCCTCTACCAAAGTGCTGGGATTACAGGTGTGAGCCACTGCGCCTGGCCTCTACTAAAAAGTTTTAAAAATTAGTTGGGTGTGGTAGTGAGTGCCTATAGTCTCAGCTACTTGGGAGGCTGAGGCTGGAGGATGGCTTGAGCCCAGGAGCCAAGGTGTCAGTGAGCCACAGTTGTGCTCTGAAGAGAACCGGTGGGAGGGGAAGGGGAACGTTGCCAGCGCCCCACAGATCCTCGGGCGTCTCAAGAAGGCCTGGGGGAGGCAGTGGAATGATCCCAGCACAGGCCTTGCCTCTCTGGCCCATTTATTGTCCTTTGTTTGTTCCCCTTCTTGTTCTTTCTCCCTTATGGTTCCTTATTTCTTCTCTTCCAGGCCAGTACACAACAGGCCGGGGCTCCTCGGGAGTGGGGCTTACGGCAGCTGTGCTGAGAGACTCCGTGAGTGGAGAACTGACTTTAGAGGGTGGGGCTCTGGTGCTGGCTGACCAGGGCGTGTGCTGCATTGATGAGTTCGACAAAATGGCCGAGGCCGACCGCACAGCCATCCACGAGGTCATGGAGCAGCAGACCATCTCCATTGCCAAGGCCGGCATCCTCACTACACTCAATGCCCGCTGCTCCATCCTGGCTGCCGCCAACCCTGCCTATGGGCGCTACAACCCCCGCCGCAGCCTGGAGCAGAACATACAGCTGCCTGCCGCGCTGCTCTCCCGGTTTGACCTCCTCTGGCTGATTCAGGACCGGCCTGACCGAGACAATGACCTACGGTGAATGGAGCTCAACACCCAAAGAGAGGTCCCCTGTAATGATCTATAGGGAGGAGGGGAGGTGAATCAAAACAAATTCCGCGCTCCTGGAAACCCCAGAGCCTCCCCCTTGCATCAGGGGCTGGTCCACGGTTCTCGGGAAAATGGTGGGTTGGGGCTGAAATGCTGATGAGGATTTTCAGGAAAGCGTGTCCCTCCTATACTGTAAGGAAGTGGCGGAGTCAAGGGAGGGACACCTAAGAGGACATGGGTGTGTAGCCCTAAAAAGGATGTTCCTCCTGGCCTCCCCTCTATCCAGGTTGGCCCAGCACATCACCTATGTGCACCAGCACAGCCGGCAGCCCCCCTCCCAGTTCGAACCTCTGGACATGAAGCTCATGAGGTAGGAGAGCTGGGTGCAGACGGGCAAACGTTGAGTGGGCCATGCGAGCCTCCTGAAAAAGTGCTTAATCTTAGCGTGTGTTTTTCACACCACCACTTCCCGCTTCGGACATGACCAAAGCCTGAGATCAGCTTTTAAGTGGAAAGTTCCACACTTTATACAATAGGGACATGGGAAACTTTCCTACACAATTTTTTTTTTTTTTTTTTTTGAGACAAAGTCTTGTTCTGTCGCCAGGCTGGAGTGTAGTGGCGCGATCTCAGCTCACTGCAACGTCTCCCTCTCAGGTTCAAGCGATTCCCCTGCCTCAGCCTCCTGAATAGCTGGGATTACGGGCGCGCGCCATCACGCCCAGCTAATTTTTTGTGTTTTAGTAGAGAGCGGTTTCACCATGTTGGCCAGGATGGTCTTAATCTCCTGACCTAGTGATCTGCCCGCCTCTGCCTCCCAAAGTGCTGGGATTACAGGTATGAGCCACTGTGCCTGGCCCACAAAAATATTTTTAATAAAATTGTCTTCAGGTTATATGTGTCGGTTGTATATGAAATACAGGTGAATTCCATGTTTAGACTAGAGTCCTATCCCCAAGCTATCCCATTATGTATGTGCAAATACTCCAAAATCTGAAGTCTAAAACACCTGCTCCCAGGCATTCTGGATACTCAACCTCTATCGCTATTTTTCCACGAGCCTCCAGTGTTCCTTCAGGTTTTTACTTACTTTTAAATATTCTGTAAACTATTCTCTTTAAATATATCTGTTTTGCCATGTCATGCGCTCAGAGGAGGGGTCTGGATCATCTATTAATGACAGATGGATTTGTCTTACTCTTACAAAGGCCATTTCCCCCCGCCCCCCCCAAAAAAAAGGAAATACCTTGGGAGGGTCCTCGGGGGCTATATGTTTGGTGAAATCCATCAGTGATATTCAAGCCAAGCAAATAACCACTAATTTGTTTTTTCCACTTAAAGTTCTTGGAGGGGACCATGTTAAATGGGGAGCCCTGGTGCAGAAAACAACATGGGCTCATATTCACTCCCTTCCCCATCTCCCTCTTCTGCTTCCCCATGAACCTTCCCCCACAGGCGTTACATAGCCATGTGCCGCGAGAAGCAGCCCACAGTGCCAGAGTCTCTGGCTGACTACATCACGGCAGCGTATGTGGAGATGAGGCGAGAGGCTTGGGCTAGTAAGGATGCCACCTACACTTCCGCTCGGACCCTGCTGGCTATCCTGCGCCTTTCCACTGCTCTGGTAAGTGCCCAAACTGCTGGAGGACCATCTGTTTTGACCCTTAAAGTGGCAGCTCCTTACCATGCTCTCATCGCCGAATCCCTCCCGCTCCAGCCCTGCCGGGGCTAAAGTGCTGACAGTGCAGATAGTGGTCCTCTCCGTGCTACCGCACTGTGGGTACTTGCTGCTCCAGCAGGGCACGCACAGCGTCCGTGGAGGGAAAGGCCTTTTCCCCACTTGTTAACCTTCACTGAGCGGGTGGTTGGGATCTGTTTCACTCCGTGTCCTAGATCCTGTGCTACAGACCTTCCTTTCTGTCCTCCCGTCTTGGACCTCAGTCCTGGGGGCTCCAAAGTGCTGTTCGTGCAGGTAGTGTGATTAACCGACCTACTGCTGAGCTAGCACTTCCCGAGCCCCCAGGACACGTTCTCTCTGCCAGTTGTCTTGGCTGAGCTCCCCAAGCTCCATCTGTCATGCTGGGGAGCCCAGTGGAGTTCAAAAGGGTCTGGTCTCCCTCACAGGACAGCTGAACTCCGGGACTGGCCAGTGTTGAGAGGCGGAGACTTGGGCAATTGCTGGACGCTGCCCTGGGCATTGCACTTGTCTCGGTCTGACAGTGCCGGCCCAACACTGCGGATGCTGGGGGGGTGGGGGGCTCCTCTCCTGTTTTGTGAGTAGGCGACCCATGGGCTGCCCAGCCTTAAAGCCATAACAGGGGTGTTCCCTGACCTTGTTCCACTGCCCTCCTCCTGTTCCCATCTGTCCCCTACCTTCCCCTTAGGCCCGTCTGCGAATGGTGGACGTGGTGGAGAAGGAAGATGTGAATGAAGCCATCAGGCTAATGGAGATGTCAAAGGACTCTCTTCTGGGAGACAAGGGGCAGACAGCTAGGTGAGTGGTTTAGTGAAGGACAAAGCTGAGTCACTTTGGCTTTTGTGTCCATGTGTCTGAGGCTGGCCTCAATTCTAACACTGACCATCATTATTCTCTGTTGATGTCGAGCATTCCTGTTTGTCCCCTGACCTTACACACCTACTCATTTCCTTCAGGACTCAGAGACCAGCAGATGTGGTATTTGCCACCATCCGTGAACTGGTCTCAGGGGGCCGAAGCGTCCGGTTCTCTGAGGCAGAGCAGCGCTGCATATCTCGCGGCTTTACACCCGCCCAGTTCCAGGTGGCTCTGGATGAATATGAGGAGCTCAACGTCTGGCAGGTCAATGCTTCCCGGACATGGATCACTTTTGTCTGATTCCAGCGTGCTTGCAAGCCTGGGGTCCTCTTGTTCCCTGCTGGCCCGCCCCTTGGGAAGGGGCAGTGATGCCCTTGAGGGGAAGGAGGAGCCCTTCTTTCTCCTATGCTGCACTTATTCCTTCTGCTAATAAAGTGTTTGTAGATTGCCACCTTCTAGCCTGGGCCTTTCATTAAAACAGGGTATTGTGTGTTTTTTAGATTCCTACCTGTTCCTTTTTTATGCTCCTATTTCATCCACTCAGTAAATTGTCTGAGTAAGCTGCATCTCCCTGCCAGGCCCCAGTGTAGATGCTGGGGATGTGGCAAAGACTAAGTGGTCCCTGCTGTTTGGAGATACTTGAGCTGGGGCTCCACTTTTTGAGCCCCCTGACTCCCTTATTTAGTCTTACACTGCCTGTGTGCCAGTCAGGCTCTGGGGATACGGCGCCAGTATGAAATGCAGGGTCTCTTGGTTTTTCCCCTTTTCTAGCAGACAGGTCATTACTTAACCACTTAGTTCCCAACTCCCACTCTAAAGCTCTGGTTAGCGGGTGATGAAAATTGGCACAAGTGATCACATACAGCAATCCTGACCTTTAGACCACTTCCTAGCTGCCTCTCCAAAATATGTAGTAAACGGTCATTGAGAAACTCCCTCCTGGTAATTCACAATGCCCACAAGATCAAGGCTTGGACTTGTTTCTAATAAAAGTCTGCTTACTATCTCTTGTTTTTTGTGTGTGTGAAAAGTTAATTTCGCTCGGGAAAGTAGTCAATTGTCACGTTTATAGGGCTGGGCTATGTAAGATGTCGTCAAGGGTGACATTAAAGTGTAGAACAGAGACCGCTTAGGTGGAAGCAGACAGTCCATGTGACTGACACGGGGTCACTTGAAATGGCAGTGCCTTCCTCATGGAAAAGCATCAGAAGGGCTTGTGAGCAAGGCTCACGATGAACCTCGATGAACATCCAAGTTGACAAACCAGTGTGGTGCCTAACAGAGAGGACAGAGCCACCAGCAGGGGTGCTCAGGGGCTGCTCCCCTTTATTATTAATGACAGCGGTTTCTCTCAATGAAGTGTAGCGCCCTCCCCTTTGGGACAGTTGCCTGACCCCTGTCCATCAGCCCTTCAAGTACCCTCCTCAGAAGAAGAGCCCGCGCATTCGCCTGCCGATGCCTTGTCGATCATAGAGGACGTTGAACTTGTTCACAAACTGGTTCATGGTGTTGCACGTTTTCGTGATGGTGCCGAGGTAGGCCATGAGCCCCACGTCGTTGCATTGCTGGGAGGGAACAGAAAGGACAAGTTCCTCAGGGGATCCCTCGTGGCATGCCCAGGGAACAACAGTCCCCGGTCCTCCACGTGAAAGTGACAGCATGAGCCCCACCTCCCCATCCAGGTTTTAAACTCACATCATAAAAATCTGTCTTGAACTTGTCTGTGCTGAGCACTGGGAGGCAGTGACACAGAGCATAGGCCTCCCGCAGGATCTCATGATTAAAGGGGACCTCTCCTAAAGGCACAAAAAGAGGCTGCATTAGTTTGGATGCTGTCACTTCCCCAGGAGGGAGAGGAAGAATGCCAGGGAAGTGCCCAAGGAAGCCCCTGTCCTACCCGCTTCAGAGGCCTTGACGTACTCCAAGATGAGCTTGACGCGGCTGTGCAGCATCTTGATGGCGCTATGCTGTGCTATCAGGTGTTCAGCCACTGCAAAGGGACGAGGACAGGAGGAGGTTGAGACGGGATGTGGCCACACCTTCCAACCCCACTTCCAAGTAATCCCCTCCATTACCAGTGGAGTTCTCTCCACTGCCTGTTGCTGTCATTCGGGCTACGTGGTCTACACCAATGCGTTCCGCTTCCTCTGTGGCCAGAGTGTAGGTCAGCTCAGCAAACAGCATTGTGGCCTACAAGGCAAGGCAACCCACAAAGGGAGAATCAAAAGCAGGAAAGAGGCCAAGAGCAGGATCTGAGGGTTGAAGGGTAGGGTATTACCTCTCCATTGATTATATCGATGACAGACTCAAAAACGCTGACAGGAAGCTGTGAAGGAGATGGAGAAACCTGAACACTATATGCCAACATTTGGACGAGCTGCTTTCACCCATTTCCTCTCATCTCACCTTCCCAAGAAACCAGTGAAGTAGGGATTACCTCCCTTCACAGTTTGGAGATGAAATGACTAAGACAGAGTTACAGCTGGTAAGTGGCACCTGGCATTCCCCAATAGAAGAGTATCACACAGTAAAAGGCAACAGTGACAATCATGACAGAGTAGGCATGGGGTATTACTCACATCTGTGTGCTTGGTCATAGGGTTCAACTTCAGAAAGAGGGGGCTCTCAATGATCTCACACACCTGGAAGAGAGGGACAATGCACAGAAGTCAGTGACCCCCACCTTTCTCCTTCCCCTCATTCTCCATTCTCTGCCCCAGCATGCACAGGTGTGAGTATGTATACCTGCTTATGGACGTGGATGTCCGAGGGGTCAGGTGGCCCCCCTGTGGTATACCAACCCAGAAACTCCAGCTCCTTGAACACCTGTTTAACTGGAGGGGAAGGGGCCAGAACACACAGTAATTCTTTTTTTTTTTTTTTGAGACGGAGTCTTGCTCTGTTGCCTAGGCTAGAGTGCAGTGGCACGATCTTGGCTCACCACAACCTCTGCCTCCCAGGTTCAAGCAATTCTGCCTCAGCCTCCCGAATAGCTGGGACTTCAGGCACGCACCACCATGCCACGCTAATTTTTGTATTTTCAGTAGAGATGGGGTTTCACTATGTTTGCCAGGCTGGTCTGTAACTCCTGACCTCATGATCCACCCGCCTCGGCCTCCCAAAGTGCTGGGATTATAGGCCTGATTCACTGCGTCCGGCCTGACATAGTAACTCTTTAAACCATCCTTCCTCAATGTGAAACTCCTGGTGTATTTTCACCAGCTTCTCCTCCCTCCTCAAATCCTGGCTCAGTTTAGAATAATTACTCCCTTCTATCCTGTCTTCTCTCATCCTTTACTTTCTTTTTGAGAAAGAACTCTGAACGTGTTCTTTTTCTGAGATCTCTCCAGCTACTCTCTTCACTTTTTCTCCTCTGTTCTTGGCGTCCTCTCGGGTTTCTTTCCAACCCTCTCCATCTTCCCCACCTTGCACATTTTTTTTTTAACTCCCACTCCTCTTCCCCACATCTATTCCACTCTCACACTGCTCCTCCTTGGTGTAATAATATTCCTTGTCAATTATAATCTTCTCTTCCACGGTGTGGGACAGCAGCTCAAAGGAGTTCATCACCTCGATATTTCGGCCCTCCTGCTTGCCAATCAAAGCCCCAATCACTGGGAAAGAGAATGACATGGAAAAGGTGACGTTAAAGAGACTTCTATGACCTGAGGGTCTGAGATGAGTGGGAACCAAGTATTGGGGAAACGATGATTTGGGGGAGGGGAATTGGATCCAGTAAAGGAAGGGGAAAAGACCACTGTCTGGGGGAGGTGAGCAAGGAGAGGAGACTGGAGTCTATGCCCAACACTCACCCTGCACAGGCCGCCCCTCCTGGGAGCGCATGCGGATCCAGTGGTCGGAGATGTTGAGAATGACAAGGGGATGGAGAGCGACGGAAACACTCCCAGTCACTCCGGAGGCCATCACGCTGGGAACTACTAAGGGTGGAGGGAAAGAGAGAGGGTGAGAGTCCGGGCCCCACGTTCTTCCCTGCAGATAGCAGTGGGGGACGACGGAGCCCGGGCCACACTTTTCCTCCCGCAACTTATCCCAGAGAAAGATGTTGCTGCTCCGCCCTCCTCCCTTCTCCTGGGAGCACAGCGAGGCCTCAACGCACCCCTGAAGGAGGTCTCCGGAAGCCGCCCGCGCACGGCCCGTTACCTGCTGCATCCACCTCCATCCCGCTGCTCCCTCCGGTCCCGTTTGTAGCTGCAGCCGCCGCCGCCG